GCCTGTCACTGAAAATATGGATGGAGGACCTCAGTTTAGCTTGTTTGTTGCGTTAGCGCTGAGCTAATACATATAAGGCAATATAACGTGGGAGCTAGCGCAAAGGCTAACAGGCTAAGCTGAGTTTTTTCTTCCATGAAGCAGCTCTGTTGTCCTCTATGAATATTTTCAGTTACGTGTGTGTGTGTGTGTGTGTGTGTGTGTACACTTAAAAAAACAGGTAAAATGGATTACTTAATTTAAAAAATGATGTCACATGATTCTACTGGACTGAGTAAACATGATTATTCTACATTTACGCTAAGTAAATGTAAAGTAAATTGAGCTAAGTGGAACCAGTTGACATGATGTCATGTCTTTGGAAGCTTCTGATGGTTTATTAATAACATCTGATGTCATTAGAGACACACCTGTGGATGTAATTTAAGGCACACCTGAAACACACTGCTTCATAACTTTGTGAGAAAGGTGACAGAAATCACCCAACATATCCGGAAGAGTATTGACGGGAAGAACAGGAATGTTTATTCTAACTTCTCGTCAGACAGTGAGAAAAAAAAAAGGTTTTTATATAGTGTACTGTATGTAAACTTCTGGTTTCAATCAAACATTTGTTGCTGATTTAATTTTGGAGTCTCTTCTATTCAAGATGACTGACCAGTTAATGTGGATTRTTCAACATAAAAATGGCTATAAAATACTCAAAACTATGAAAAAAAACTGTGAAATTGGTGTGGTAGTATCTGAGAGTTGTTCTCCACACGACACAGAAAACACTGATAGGAGGTAATAAAATAGTTATAAATATTAAGAACTTTTAGGTCAACTTACCATTTTGACACAAATTAAGTACACAGGAAGTGTCAGGAAGAGCCTAAAAGGAMACTAGAAAAACAGCTGTGGGGATTTTCACACTCTAGTGTAAGRAAGCTCCGCCCCTTTGACACACCTGTCCTTCCAGTTTAAATATACCTGAAACGCTCGCAGCTCACATTCAGCTCAAACAATGAAGATCCGCGCAGAGACAACAGCTCGAGCAGAGAGTTCTCCTGCAGCGTTCCCCAACTCTGAAGGTAAGTTTGGAGAAACCAGATGAAGCTGTTGACACGTGAGACCACAGGTGATCTGCAACCTGCCGTGCTTTTACAGGAAACACAGCTTCCAGGACGATGGACGAGGATCTGATGTGCCCCATCTGTCGTGACACCTTCCAGGATCCGGTTCAGCTGTTCTGCAGCCACAACTACTGCAGGTCCTGCCTGAAGGACTGGTGGAACGGGAAAAGATTACTGGACTGTCCGATTTGTAGGAGCATTTCACCCACGAGGGATCCACCTGAAAACAAGGCTTTGGGAAAGCAGTGTGAGATCCTGCAGGACGAGGACAGGAGAGCGTCTTCATGGTGCCGTCTGCACCACGAGGAGTATGAGCTCTTCTGTCTGGACCATCAGGAGCCGGTGTGTCTCGTCTGCCAGCGTTCGGACGCACACGCCGGACACACGTTCAGACCCATCGAGCAGGTGAYGGGGGAGAAGAGGAGGGAGGCCCTGAAGCTCCTGGGGTCCCTGCAGGACAAACTGAAGCTCTTCAGAGAAGCCAAGGAGGACTGCGAGGGCAYGGCCAAACACATCCAGGTCCAGGCCCAGACCACCGAGGCCCGCATCAGGAAGCAGTTCAACGAGCTTCACCAGTTCCTCCAGCAGGAAGAGGAGCTGAGGATCAAAGCTGTGAGGGACGAGGAGGAGAAGAAGAGTCGGACGCTGCAGAAGAAGATCAACGCTCTGAGTGTAGAGGTCGCAGCTCTTTCCGAAACTCTTCGAAAGATGGAGGAGACGATAAAAAGTGAAGACGCAGAGTTCGTGCAGAGCTTTGGTTCTGTTGAGAGACAGATCCAAGGCCGGCCCCCGCCTGAGAACCCGCAGCCCCCCTCAGGAGCGCTGATGGATGTGGCCAAACACCTGGGCAACCTGAGCTTCAACATCTGGACCAACATGAAGCAGCTGGTCTCCTACAGTCCTGTGGTTCTGGACCCAAACACGGCCCACAACAAGCTGGTCCTGACCGAGGACCTGACCAGCGTGAGGTGTGGACCCAAGCAGAACGTCCCCGACAACCCGGAGAGGTTTGACTGTTTCCACATCGTCCTGGGCTCGGAGGGCTTCCACTCGGACACCCACAGCTGGGACGTGGACGTGGGCGACAGCTCCGACTGGTTTGTGGGCGTGGCCTCCCAGAGCGTCAAGACGAAGGGCAAGCACCCGACGTCCCTGTGGAGGATCGGACGCGTGAACGGGGAATACGTGGCACGCTCCCTGTCGGATCCGTCCACGCCTCTGGCTCCTTTGGGACAGCTCCGGAGGATCAGGGTCTTCCTGGACTGCAGCAGAGGAAAGCTGCTGTTCTTTGACCTCGACACCAACACACACCTGCACACCTTCACRCACACCTTCACTGAGAAACTGTTCCCGTACTTCAACACCGTCAACGCCTCGCCAATGAAGGTCCTACCGGCCAACTTAGTGTTGAGTCCTTCCCACAAATAGACMTGAAGACATTATTTATTTATTTACATGTATAAGTCATTGAATGTTTCCTCTTGTAAATGTTATTTATTCTAAAGTGTGATGTAATTGTGTAAAACTTCATCAAATAAAGCTTTACAAAACATTCTCAACTTTTTCAATCAATCTAACAAAACATCCTCTGCAGAACAGACTTTAGGCTAAAATATGGGAACTGTTTTGTAATTTTATTTTATTAGCATAACATAACTGGTTAGGAGTCCATTCTTTACTTATATAAAAGATAATGGCTTCATTTGGGGGTCTATCACCAGAAGTAAAGTTCTGAAGACTCGTATTGTTTTAACTGATAACTTATAAATGACAAAATAGAAGCTTGTTTTTAATTTATAGTTTTGTTCTCACATTTCATAAGACGTTACAGATAACTTGTCAATTTTTGAGTCTGTCATATTTTTAAATGAAGAAATACGTGTCCAAAAAGTTCAAAAATTATCTTGGTTCAAGATGGCCGCCACCACCGACTGACCTCCGTTATCTTTACAGACATTAAAAGATGTTCGGACAGTGTTTAAAACTTTCACACAGTGAGTCAAGTTGACACAGAAACCCTCATTATCCCGTCCGTTTTGCAGATATTGATAGAATTTGAGGTGGTAGTAACTGAGAGTCGTTCCAAACACCAGTATCGGAGCTCCGGTGTGTAAGGCTGGCGGGAGATATGAAATCCTTCCAGGTGGGGGCGTGGCCTGTAATGCTCCAGACTCTAAATTAAAACCCTCTGACCGTGTTGTATAAAGTATCACAAAGTACAAGTATCTTACGAAAAAATTACTTTGGTAAAAGTTAAAGTCTCCTTTAGGAATGTTACTTGAGTAAAAGTCTTAAAGTATCTGATATTTTTTGTACTTCAGTATTAAAAGTMYWGATTTAAAATGAGCAGTTAGGTTTTCTGTAAGGACATTTATTAGGAGGTGACCTCCCCAAAAACTGCAGAAATGACTGTTGTATTAAAAGAATTAATTTATGAAAATCTGTGAAGGCTGTGGCCAAATGTAAGAATATTATTCATGAAATACAAATACTTCTTAAGTACAGTCCTTTTATTTGAATGATTCTGTCCTGCTGGAGTGTGACRTGATTTGTTTGTGTACAAACTAATACACTATCAGAGTTTTATATATTTATACTTCTCATTCAACCACAGTTAAATTCACTCTATCTAGGAGGCTCAGTTTATACGGATAGTTTTTATTTTTTATAATAACAAGCTGGAATGAAAACAAGCAAAAATGAAATAAAAGTAACAACTTTCTTCTTGCTTTTTCAAATGTAAGGAGTAGAAWGTAAAAAGTAGGCTGAAAAATAATTACTCAAGTACAGAGACCCAAAAATTCTACTTAAGTACAGTAAAGTATTTGTACTTACTTCACAACTCTGACCTTGTTGTTGTTGAATGTTTGGCGTGTCTTCAGTCGGAGCAGACAGGAGGTTTYCTGAGAAGCCAGAACTTCCAGGTTCCTGAATTTGCATCGATGCAGAAGTWAATTCCTCCTGCCGGTTGTTGCAGAGATTATTTCTAAAAGCATCATGCTGATGATTCCTTTAAAGTGTCAGAAATATTATTCAAACCTGTTTTTCTTTTAGATTTATATCTCAGAAAGGTGATAAGTAAAAACATTTTATTTTCTTTGACTCCATCATTGGTCAACCAGGTATAAAAACAATACATTTTAGAGCAAATTAAACGKTTTTTTTATTTGCAGGATTGTTTCTGTAACTCCAGAGGCTTAAATTGTAGTAAAAACAGTCCAACACTCACCTTAAATGAACAGATTTTGTTTCAGTCTCAGTTTTTTGTGTCACATTTAATGAGTCAGGAGTTTAGATGAATAAATGAGCTAAAAGTTGCAGAATAAAAACAGTTATGGAGCCACCTGCACCGTCAGAAAAAGGTTTCTCCAGAGAGGAAACTCCAGACGATCCAAGCTGAAAAACATGAAGACTTTCATATTTATAATCTCTTTTTTTAATCTCCAGATTAGGATCAATCCTGGCAGTGAACAGATCACAAGATTTCTTTGTACAAACGAGTATAACCAGTTTTAGGTTTATGTAACCGGTACAAACCAAGGACACGCAGAGTTGTAATAACAGATGCAGTTTTAGTCACCATAAACAAATTTAATCTGATTGTTAATTTGGGCGTGGCCGTCTGCTGGTTTGAGTGCAGGTTGGGTCAGATTAACACCTTCGGTAGAAAAGTTGCCAAATTTCTCGTGAGTTTGCAACGACCCCTGCAGAGATCATCTAAAACACGTGTAAAACTCAAGGCCCACGGGCCAAATCTGGCCCTCGTTAACATTTTATCTGGCCCCAAAGGTGTTTTTTTTTAAATAGTTTCATCGTTTCTTGTTTTGTCACTTTATCTTTTCTGTTCTTTTATTATTCTAAAGTTTAAAAACTGGATTTTTGAATTTCTGTTTGTAACTGATGGGCTGGACTGTGATTAAATGTGTYTTTAATGAAATAGTTGCGAGTAAAGCATAAGAAGTGAAAGCGAAGTGTAATCTTGTTTTCTTTGTTAGATTATGTTTGTTCTAAACAACACATAAAACATAACTGAGAAAAAACATTTCTATAAAACTGATTAGTTACGTAACATTTAAAACTTTTTCTTTCAGTAAATATAGACAGACTGGCCCCTGGCCTGGACCAAACTGTGAATTTTGATCCTCTTGTGTTTAACACCTCTGATCTGAAAGAACTGTTTCATCTTAATCAGATTGTTGTCAAATTATTTTAAAGGAAATAAATAAACTTACTGGATTAGTTTGTAACTGTCGTCACAGTGGGACAATAAAACCACACCCGAACACGACGGAAAGAACCGAACAGTCACAGCGAGGAGGAGCTTATTTTAGTTTTTCATCCTGCTTGGAACGCTGCTTTATGTTTTAAACCACTTCCTAAACTTAACTAACCCGACTCAACATCTGATGACCTGCAAAAGTCCGGAGTAAAACATGTAAAACTTTCACAAATCCTATTTTTATTTTACAGAAAAGAGCCGTAAGAATTATCACCAGAAAATACATTATTTTCTAAATTGAATTTTTTTTTACAATTTTATGAGTTGGTTGATTATAATATCTTGCAGATTATGTATAAGGC